ACACACACACACACATTCATTTCTTTATTTTAATACATATTAATAACTATGTTTCTTTTTTCTCCCATAGTCCCTCTCTCTCTTTCTCTCTCTCATTGCAGATACCTCTGACTCCAGAACTGCAGGAGAACAACTATTATTATTATTATTATTATTAACAACAATACGTATCAGTGATTAATTATTATATGAATTGTTGCTGCTATGATTAATAATCAAGAACTTCTTTACACTGTTATTGTTTTCATTTGAACTACTCAGATCTGATACCTAATGTTGCTCAAGTATTCCCGGTCAGTATCACTTCTCTCTCCCCCTCCTCCCCCTACCCACTATCTCTCTCTCTTCTCTACCCTCTTTTCCAACCATCTCCCCTCTCCTCCCCATTTTTCTCTGCTCACCCCAACCTGTCGAAGCATATGACCGCAGTTGAACCCCCATTACAAATTGTCACCACCGACAATATATATATACCCTTATACAGTGGCAAACTGTAAATATACAACTAACAGTAAACAAAGACACAAATAGAAGAAGGGGAATATAAATACAAAGCTATGGTGAGAGATTAAATGAGTAGTAGTTTGTTTTCCTATCCCTCCCTCCCTCTTTAGAGTCTTATTGGAAACACCTGGACTCTGGACTGTACTTACTTACCAATCATTACAATTCCTTTGGATTTTCTTTTTTAAAACTTAATTTCAAATGTTGTTGTGACCCACCTGTTATATTAATTTCTATATAATAGCAGTAATTCTTGGTGAATAAAATGTTGAAGTCAGGAATAACGTTTATGACGATTCCAGTTTATACCACCGAGGTATAAACCCTCAGCATCATTAGCAGAAACATTCCGAGGATCAGCTCACTGCGGACACACCTTTGGGAGTCCTGTTTTCATTATTTCATTCTGTTGTACAAAAACAGCAGCAAAGCCTTTTGCCAGGATCCAGACTTAGATGTATGATATCAGATGAGGACAAACGTGGAGCAAAGTGGAGAGCAGAGGGGGTTAACAGCCAGACTGTCCCATGGTACAGACTGGAAAATAATAAATATCAGGATAGAGTGAAAGACTGAAGTGCTGAAACGATGTCTTGAGAGGGAAGTAGTTATATCACCTCAGCACAACTTAAATCCCTGTGTGACAACTTATGCACATATTTTTCTGAGGAGAGTTTTGCAGCCTTTTCCCTTCATAGTCAGGTGAATAATATTGACATTAATTTGCAGTGGGAGTTCAAAGAGCTGGTCCTGGACTTGACCAATGAGGCCTGAATCTAGGTGACAGAGGATGTGTGTGGAGCTTTGGGTCAGGGCTGCTAAATATCAAAGTGCACATGAATGCTGTTGGTAAATTAGAGTCCAACGTTCACTGACCTGCTGCAGAGAAAATGAAATCTGTGTTCATTGTGACTTTCACTCATCAGTACTGTATCATTTTTCACTGATCTGCATTCGAGAGAGGCATCTGTTTGAAACACACCCTCTCGTGGCAACAGAAAAGTAGATGATCACAGTCAGTGATGTGAGAAACCAAAGTTGTTATTGTCTCTGCTAACAGGTCAAGTAAGTGTGGGTGCATGTGTTTATTAAAGAACACATACTGTGTTATTGAACCAATAATATGAAAGAAACTCTTGCAGTGCCCACGAACAATATTAAAGAAACAAGGATTTTTAACATGAAAGTGCTTTATTTTGTGTTATAACAGATCCAGTCACCACATTCATTTGTTTAGGAGAGGAGGTGATCTCTGAGGATAATTCAGCAAGAACCTCCTGAACCATTAACCTTGACGGTATCTTAACCAGGAGAACCTGCCAGCAATGATGGAGCAACAATCCCACACTACTTCACAATCCACACTCCCTCTTTGATAATTGTGTTAATTGAGAGGTTTGTAGTGACAGAATATTATTAATGAATCAATCAATTTTATCTGTATATTCCATATTCACGAATCACAGTTTTCCTCAAAGAGCTTAACATGGGGCCATCTGCAGAAGTTCTCTGACGACTCTGCCATCGTCGGCCTCATCACTGACGAYGATGACAGGGAATACAGAGAACTGATCAAGGACTTTGTGGACTGGTGTCAGTGGAACCGCCTCCAGATCAACTCAGGGAAAACCAAGGAGCTGGTGGTRGATTTCCGCAGGCGCAATCACACMCCCCCGACACCGGTGAACATCCAGGGAATGGACATAGAGAGAGTGGACTCTTATAAGTACCTGGGTGTTCACCTGAACAATAAACTGGACTGGACTCAAAACACTCATGCRCTTTACAGGAAAGGTCAGAGCCGACTCTACCTGCTGCGTAAACTTAGGTCCTTTGGAGTGCAGGGAGCGCTCCTCAGGACCTTCTTTGACACTGTTGTGGCATCAGCCATCTTCTCTGGAGTGGTCTGCTGGAGCAGCAGCATCTCAACAGCTGACAGGAAGAGACTTGACAAGCTGATAAAGAAGGCCAGCTCTGTCTTGGGTTGCCCCCTTGACTCAGTGCAGGTGGTGGGAGAGAGGAGGATGATGACGAAATTATCATCAATGTTGG